CAACCCCCAAAAGGCATCCTGCCGTTTGGCACGATGTTCATCGAGCTCTACTTCGCCATGCGCAGCGTCTGGATGGGCGTCTTCTACTACCTCTTCTTCTTCGTCCTCGCGGTCGGGCTGCTCACCATCATCATCAACATAGAGATCTCGATCCTCTGCACCTACGTCCAGCTCTGCGCCGAGGACTACCTCTGGTGGTGGCGCTCCTTCCACAGGGGCGGCAGCGTCGCGCTGTACGTCGGCCTCTACTCCTGCTGGTTCCTGGCCGTGCAGCTGCGGGACGTGCACGGGTTCCTGCCCGTGCTCGTGTACTCCGCCTACATGAGCATCGTGGGCGTGGGCATCTACTTTGCGATGGGGGTTGTCGGGTTCCTGGCCAGCGGTGCGTTTGTGTACGCCATCATGCGCGCCGTCAAAGCGGAGTGACCGGGCGCGCGGCACGACGCGGGGGGTTGGGGGTTGGGGGGCGAGCGCGGCGGTGTGGGTAGGGGGGCGTGTTTGCGCGGCGCGGCCAGCGCTGTGCGGAGGCAGCGGCGGGCTGTCATGCGGCTGCTGTGGCATTGTGCTGCCGTGGCGGCGGCTGGGGTATTGGACCTGAGCCAGGCGTAAATCTCGGTGTGCCCTCCTGATTGGAGGAGCCCCGCAGCCGTGCTGACGAACGCCCGGCGCTGCACGCCTCAGACGTGCGTGCCTTCCGCGATCCCCCTAGTCTCGGCTGCTCCCTTGCAGCGCCCTCCTGCCCCCCATCCCCCCCACCCCATTCGCGTTTTTCAAGCTCAAATTAGCACTGACAAGGCACGGACTGCTGCGCTCTCTTGCGAGAAGCTGCCAAGGTTCCTCCTGCCTTTTCACACGACAATTGACACCCGATTTTCTCTCTCGTGTCTTGCAGTAGTAATAAGTAGGCGCAGCTCATGCCACTGGTCGTCCTGCTCCTTGTCTCTAGGGTGAATGGAAAAAGTATTCAGCCCCAACAGCATGTGCGCCTCCGGGGCGTCGCGCCCGCCCTTTGCAAAGCCCTGCCCTTGAATCAGGTACAAGCCACCCCCCCCTCAGACAGGCGTGGCAGCACCCGTGTATGCGGGGCGCCCCGCCGTCGACGTCGGCCAGCGAGTGACGCGCTGCCAAACAAGGGGTGCATGCTGACGATCAGCTTATGAGACCTGTTGGCACACCCCTGCTCAGCAGTGCCACCGCAGCGCGCCCACAGCGCACAGCGTCACATGGCCCTGCCGTCTAAACGCGCCCAGCAGACCTGTCACGTCGCATGGGATGCAAGCAATAACGAGAGCCGCGACCCTTGCCTGGCCTTGATACTTGGGCTGTATCATAGTTGGCAAGCCGAGCAGGCTGCCGACGCAGGGCGGCAGCTGCCGTCGCACGGCTCTGGCTGCGTTCCCCTTGAACCTGTCCACGCAGCGTCTGCATGATGCCGTAGAAGAAGGCCGCTGCTTGCGTGTGCTCATACGGGTGGTGGCACACATGCCGCCACCAGCGTCGTCCCCTCGTTCCTATCAGTGCAGTCGTGGCCGTCGTTTGTCAACCTGGCTGACGGCGGCTCCCCCTATGCCTGCTTCCTCGACGCCGGCCCCAGCCTCAGCCGGCCCCCTGAGGACGACGCTGGGGTGCTGGTGACCGTCGTCACCCCAACCGACCACCCCCAGCCCGTCGCGGTCAAGCCTGCAGATGTCCCACATGCCCTTAGTGACAACGCAAAGAAAACCCATCTGGCCAGTAAGATCACGAGCCTTCTGCTGTGCGGGTCCGCGCCCACCCCCAAGGCCTCCAAGGCTCCCAGCACGGCCTGGGCTGCCCCGCCAGCCCCACCGCCCCCAAGCCCGAGCTGCGCGCCGCCATGGCGCCGGGGCCCCTTTCTTTGTGCACTGCATCGCCCCGTCCAGCAGTCACCTTGCTCACAACCGGTAGAGGCCAGAACAGGGACCCTGCTCTGACACACGGCCAGTACTTCCATCACACATTGTTCTGATCATGTGCCATTCCAGAGATGTAACGCTGTGGTTTGCTGCATGTTCGTGGCTCTCGCCGGCACCCTGTATGTCACCCTTCCCAACGGCCGGCGCACCTATCACAGCGCCTGGTCACCTGAACCGGTGCATTGTATCACGTCTTTTGTACATCACTGTTTTGCGCTCATACTTACAGCAACACAACCAAACTTCGCAGATGCGATGCACTGAAACAGGGGGGGAAAGGCAAAGGCGACCAAGTCCACTGAAAGACTGCGACATAAGCAACCGCAAGAGAAACGCTCAAGGACATCTGCAAAAATACGAGACGACAAATGAAATGTGCTGACGCCAGTGTTGAAAGAGGGAGAAGCCAGCCCTGCCTGACGCGGCCGAAACAAGCCACCAGCAACACGACCTGCCTAACGCTGGCGACGGCGGGCCGGGGCGACACACCTGCCCCGACACCTGCCGCCGCGCCCGGGGCCCGGCCAAGCCCGGCGCGCCCCGCTTGACAAACTCCAATAACAAAAGAACGCGACTCAAGGGTGCCCAGATCTCCCACTTGCTGCTGGCCCAGATCACGGGGCCTCTTGCTCAGATCATGAGGTCGAGCTCGTGGCGCACAAAGGTGTTGTGGCCGTCCTCGGGGTCCGCCACGCGCGGCATGAAGGACACCAGGGCGTCCTGCGCCCCTATGTAGAGGTTGTTGTACACCTTCCAGTAGACCTGGCGCACCTTGCGGGCCGGGTGGAAC